CCGCTATTCAGTGGACATTCCAAGGACTAAACGAGAGGTGGCACACGCACAAAGTTCTTACGGCTTGCGCTTCGGGTCCACTTCCCACCTTTCACCACCTCGAGTTCAAGGTATATACTAGTTCACTGTATTCATGGCACTGCGGCTCAATGCTCGCTAAACCTTTCTAAAACCAAGGAGGTTACGCCCAGCGAGTATAATGTAGCAACCCTTTCTTGTCCGATAGTGCTCAATGTACATGCCAATGGCTGCTAATGGGGATCGCAGCGTGCGCGTTGACTAAAAGCCGAATGCTCCTGTCTCTCATTCCCCATTAGCAGCCATTGGCATGTACATTGAGCACTATTTTTATTGTTAAAGAACGCACAGAAGAAATCTCTCACCGGCACCACCTTGGAGATCAAATGTTATAGCTATTTCGGGTATGTGCCACTAGTGGTTACGTACTACGAGGGACGCACAAGCCATGCCATAAGGAGCTTCGCCCCTGAAAGCTCGGACAGCGTGCGCAGTGGCGATGTCAACGACGCCGCCGACGCCTCATTTGCGAGCAGGTGCGATTATGAAGCGATCCACGTTTAATAAAAAGAGACGTACATCCCAATCCACAAGCTAAATCAGAATGCCGCATTCTGCGCTCACGGTTACACGCAAATAAATGTGTTACTTTATTGTTCCTTTCGTGGAACTGCCCCTGATTTATATTGGACGTTGTTAAGACATTTATTACAGGCGCGCTGACATAATCACAGCTGCGATGCGTAGCGCGACGTGGTTTTATTGCTTTTAGGAACGAAGCTTTTTATAGTATCACATTCTTCAGTCGTCAACTTCTATCCAGCGTAGCCAGCATATCCTCTGAGTGAATGATGTGATCAGCGGGGCGAAGCGTTCTTCCGTCCGATGCGTGCTGTAGTGTTGAGACGACGGACGCATGGACGAACGATTTCACGGACGGCCGGACGAATGTGTGGACGCTTCACGCCACTAATCATTCACTCAGTGTATATGCTGTAATTTCGTTTATTTATCCTTCGTGGACCGAACAGCGTTTTGCTTGTCGTTCACAAGTCCTACTGAACGTTCCTCATATATAGGGAAGACCAGTTGTGGCGAGCACGGCTGGACGGCCGGCGTGTTAGCCTAAGAAGCGAAGAACGATTCTAAGAAGCAATAAAACGACGTCTTGGCACAGCTGTGATCATATTAGGGCGTCTGCAAGAATTCTCAAAACAGCGTTACAATGAAAAGCAGGGCTAGTTCAATGAGAGCAAGAATTAATCCATTCAATGGGGTGTAAAAAGTAATCCATGGACGTAGAACGCTGCGGTCGTCTGACTGCGCTTGCGGATTAGGCTACTATTTTTTTTTTTGTTTCTTCTTCGCCGGTGCCCATAGAGTTTCATACAATAGTACTCTATGCTAGTGCCTCACCTTTTATACAGCCCGCGAACTTTGAGGTATAGTTTCGAGCACATGTGGATTCCATGCAGAGGCATCGCAAATATAACTGTTCTAATTATGGGCGGTGCCAATCTACAGCAAAATAAAAACCCCATTTGAAAATAAAACGCCTTAGCATTGCATTTTCGCGTTTCTCATAATCATGTGGAGGTTTTGGGACGTTAAACCCCTCATATCAATCAAGCATTGCATTTGCCTCTCGTACTCCTTGACCCGACATTTCCAAACGAACACAAAGCTCAAATTGGTTGCTAACAACTTTATTGCAAGTCCGGCAGAGCTTTCGCCGACCGGGCCTTAGGTCTCCCGCGTGGGGACGTCAAGACCTTGCCTGACCTCTGCCTCGCGGGCCTGCTGGACGGCCCAGAGTTGGCCACCGAGGGCCGCACAGGGCAGCGGCCAAGCGTGGCGGAAGGGTTCCGGAGTTAGCACCTTGCGGATTTCTAGCGCAGTCCCAGAGCATGTGATCCAATGCGGTAACCTCGCTATGGCATATCTTGCATATATTCGTCGGATATATATTGGGGTATAGTCTGTTAAACAGCGATGGGTTGGGATACGTGTGCGTCTGCAGCTGTCATAGGGCTGCCGCATGCATCCTGTACGGTCTTTGGTGTTTCCCTATAGAGGACAGTCGCCGGCGCGGTTCACGAGCTCGCGCACTGGCCAGACCATTTTTTTTCTCGCCACATAAAAGCTTCAACATCGCAGCATCCTTTTGGATGGATGAATGAATGGATTGATATGGCTGTACCCTTTAGATCGGGTAAGGGCTAACGCCACCAAGCCGTAATACTTAGTGAACGAAAAACTAGATTTATCTTTTTTTTCTTTAAATAGTGAGGTTGAGGACTGGTACTTTGCAGTGGAGGGCATAATTTTCACTCGTGCCTTGACTTTGGCCACCAATCAGATAACCTCCTTCTAGTTAATTCTACCCGCTTAAAGTCTATTTTGCCCTCCCTGTCCCTAAACACCAGTGCGTTGAAAAACTCTGCGCCATCATCCTGAATTATAGGGTGAAGCCCCTTACAGAACATTATCAAGTGTTCGGCAGTTTCCTCCTCCTCTCCACACGCACTGCATACCGTGTCTACCCCTTCGTATTTGGCCTGATATGTCTTCGTTCGCAATACTCCCATCCTCGCCTCAAACAGTAGGACTACCCCGAGTATTATCATAGATCCTTTCATTGGTAATGTCCTGCTTAAAAGTTCGATAGATCTCTAGTGCGGACTTCTTAATCATTCCAATTCTCTACATATCGGTCTCAGCTTCCTTTACCTTCTTCTTAACCGATAATTCTTTTTGGTTTGGCCCCTGCCGTTTTCCAAGTATTTACCCGTCAATTTTCTGGTACGCTTCCTCCATTTTGTATCGACATTCTTCATGTACAAGTAGCTGAAAACCTTCCTAGCCCAACGCTCCTCCACCGCGCTTCTCTCAATCGCTTCTCAAATTTTATCTTGTTGTTAGCTTCCCTGCCCTCAAATTATGTCCATCCCATATCACTTAGTACTCCCTGCTTTGGTGTATTCCCGTGAGCTCCTAAGGCAGGCCTACCTATTCCACGTTGTTTATTTTCTAATCTTGCTTGAACCTCTGATCTCATGCACAAGACCGCATTGCCGAACGTTAGACCAGGAACCATGACCCCTTTCCATATTCCTCTCACAACATCGTACCTATTGTAATTCCACAGTGCCCTATTTTTCCTCACTGCTGCATTCCTGTTGCCTTTAGTCGTCACGCATATTTCGTGTTCCCTTAGGTACTCGGTCCCATTGCTTATTCATACGCCCAGATAATTGTATTTATCTGTTATCTCTAGCGTGACCTCCTGTATTCTAAGCTCGCTACCTTCATTGTCATTAAAAATCATGACTGCTGATCTTTTCCTTACTGAATCTGAAATCTAACCTATCTCCCTCATTTCCGCAGATGTTCATCAATCTCTGCAAATCTTCCTTGTTGTCGGCCATTAGCACTATATCATCTGCGTACATCAATGCTGGTAGTGCCTGTTCAATGAGTTTTCCTTGTTTGACGAAAGAGAGGTTGAAGCCCAGTCCACTTCCCTCTAATTTGGCCTCTAATCCTTGTAGGTACATCATGAATAAAAAGGGTGACATAGGACACCCCTGCCTAAGCTCCCGTTTTACCTCTGCAGGCTTGGATACCTGTTTTTCCCACTTCATAACTACCTTGTTACCTTTATAGATATCCTTTAAAAGATTAGTGACTCCATCTTCCACACCTAGTGTGTCCAGTATTCCCCACAAGTCCTCTTGAACCACGCTATCATACGCTCTCTTGATATCCAAAAATGCTAGCCACAGGGGCCTGTGTTCCTTTTTCTTCGATACCCTGCGTCAGTGAGAACAGATTGTCTTCCAACCTCCTGTGTTTCCGAAACCCATTCTACAGTTCCCCCAGCACCCCCTCATCCTCTATTCATGCCTGCAGTCTTTCCTTTATAATCTGCATCGCCAGCCTGTAGACCATTTATGTCACTGTGATAGAATGGTAGTTGTTTTTGGATGGGTGGGTGGATAAATACGGCTGTGCCCTTTAGATCGGGCGGTGGCTAGCGCCACCAAGCCGTAATACTTAATGAACCCAAAACTAGATTTATTTTGTTTCCCCTAAATAGTGAGGTTGAGGATTCGTACTTTGCAGTGAAGGGTTTAATTTTCACGCGTGCCTTGACTTTAGCCACCAATCAGATAACCTCCTTCTAGTTAATTCTACCCGCTTGAAGTCTATTTTGCCCTCCCTGTCCCTAAACACCAGTGCTTTGAAAAACTCTGCGCCATCGTCCTGAACTATAGGGTGAAGTCCTTTACAGAACATTATCAAGTGTTTGGCAGTTTCTTCTTCCTCTCCACACGCACTGCATACCATATTTGGCCCGATATGTCTTGATTCGCAATACTCCCGTCCTGGCCTCAAACAGTAGAGAACTACCCCGAGTATTATCATAGATCCTTTTCTTGGTAATTTCCTGTTTAAAAGTACGATATCTAGTGCGGGCTTCTTAATCACGCCAGTTTTCCACATATTGGTCCCAGCTTCTTTTACTTTCTTCTTAACCGATAGTTCTTTTTGGTTTGCCCACGTGCTGTTTTCTAAGTATTTGCCACCCAATTTTCTGGTTCGCTTCCTCCATTTTGTATCGACATTCTTCATGTACAAGTAGCTGAATACCTTCCTAGCCCAACGCTCCTCCCCCATTTCTCTCAATCGCTTCTCAAATTTTATCTTGCTGCTAGCTTTCCTGCCCTCAAATGACGTCCATCCCATATCACCTTGTACTCCCTGATTTGGTGTATTCCCGTGAGCTCCTCAGGCAAGCCTACCTATTCCACGTTGCTTAATTTCTAATCTTGCATGCTTGAACTTCTGATCTCATGCACAATACCGCCTAAAGCGAAAGAAAAAGCGCCGCGGTGCGGAGAAAAGAGCGGGCCGCGCCCACCTCTGGAAAAACGCGCTTTCTGTGTGATTGGGACGGCCGGAGATAAACCCGCCGTGCGCTCGCAATCTCGGAGGCCATGAACCCGCTTGAACGTTTTTGCTTGCGACCGCCAGAGGGCTCCTACAATCACGATGGCGTCGACCGAGATGGCTGCATTGTATGCGACGGACGAGAAAGGTAATATTGCGGCACAAACTTCGTGCATGCATGCAAGTGCAGTGTGAGTTACGCAATGTCGAAGCTATGTCGCCCCTGTACCGATAATGCCGAGGTTTTAACGTACTGGCGCCATCGATATTTTATTTACATCTGTGCCGCCACGGCTTGCTTACCCGGCACTTGGGCTAGGACGACGTTGTTTTTGTGTATTGATCATGTTGCCCGTTTCTTGTTCTGTTCTTTGAAGTATTTTAGGAATTGTGTGTCGGAAAGCTACTGGGTAGTCGAGTTTGGTACCGTGAAAGGCCTCGCTGCAGCTGTGAAGCCATGCATTTTCGTAGCCCACAAAATGCGAGCGCCGGCACAATCCTTTCGTGACATGCACACTTGGACTAAATGCATGCATCGTAATAATTGATTCCCGAGAGTGATTGGGGCACTTCTATTGAGTCTACTGCCTCTGAAATCGCGTGTTCGTCTCGCTTCGATGCAGAAACGGTGCGGTAGCATTGCTCTGGTGTTTCTGAAGCAAGACTTCGTAAAGCACGTTTCTGTGTCAGCGGAATGGCTTCAAAAATATCCGTGGAAAAATTAGCGAAGTGGATAGGCCTGCGTGCGACTGGCCGAAAATAAGCACTTGGTCCTCATATTCCGTGGTAGTACGACGTTTCTGTTTGAACCCGCTGTACCTGTTTCGTGGAGTTCAAATTTTAGCAAATTTGTTCAAAGAATGTAGAATTAGAAAATAAAAATAGTTTTGTGTCGGTGTTGTCACCTTAGTTCCCATTTCACTGGACGCGTCTCGCAAAAATTTCTTTGCATTCTTGACAATTCTAAGGAACTAACACCCGTTTTCTTTCGCTTATGATCGAATGCAACTTCATCCTTACAGTGTATAAAATAAAAAAGTAGAGGGAGCAGGTATGTGCAACCCTTTAGCAGTGATGGTTATGGCTCACTCATCAAATATGAGGAATGGGTGTGCATAATGCAGCTATAGAGGCATGCTCTCGAAGCAAAGCGGGTCAGTGGTATAAGGAATGTATGCAGCTGAAGTAATTGCCTAGTATCTTCATCATTTTATGTGCTATATAAAGAGAGTCATCACTCAAGTTGCTTTGCAATCATTGAAATATCTTCCAGGCTCCTATATACCTGCAACGCAAAGACCTGATGGGACTTGGCGCAAGGCCCGACGCGTCAAAGACGGCTATGTGCCCCAGGAAGAGGTCCCCTTGTGAGTTTGAACAAAAACATAATGTTCTATGCGAAGAAGGTTTATCTCAAAAGATGTGCACGATACATAAATTTTAATTTGCCCTGACCTGGAACTAAACTTTCTCTAAAGCATCCATATTGCTGCAAACATATGGCAACATTGACACAATGAAAACTGTGATTACTGTTGGCTTAAATTTAAATGCCCAAGTTGGTAGGTTTGTTGTGGAACTACACAAGATGCATTGAGCTAGTATGATGGCGCTTGTTGAAAGTAGGTAATGTTTCACTGGTTTTATAGACAGTTAAGGTGATTACACTGCAGTTTTGTTGTGTTTGCAACCGGACTTCAAAAATAAAAAAGGGGAAATATAAATGCCTATCCTTTGACCTTTTGTGCTGTGCATGTCGCACAATATTTGGGCTCTTTCAGACACAAATATTCTCCTACACATTAGAACCGCCATGTTCATGGAGCAATGGCTTTCACGTTCTTATGCTTCATCTACATTCTGTCATACATGCCATTCAAGTCAAACTTCAGCAGCTTGTATTGAAGTTTGAATAATCAAGCAATGGCATATAAGCATCTGTGTGATGCAGATAACCTAGGCTGTATTGCTTGTACATTTCAAGCTGTCATGAACTGCCATCTGGGTTTGGAGCAAAAGCACATTCTACGAACAGTAAATGTGCTGTTCAGCCAAACTTCGTGGGTCAAGTGCCTTCTTCTCCTACATGGGCTCATTGCCACGCTCTTTGAAGCCTCTGGCATCTGCTCTACCTGATCATGGCAGCAGTTTGCCCTGATTGGCAACTTAAATGAAGAGTGGGGGGTTTCAATCTGATATGTTTCTTGGTACAGCCACATGCCTGCACTGTGCTTGATACTGTGCTAAAATTACACAGCAATAACACTAAAACACATCAAAATCGCACGGGGAGTGGGCAAAGCATTTCTTGACTTGCACTCAAGGTCGTAATGCGTGCTGGCATAGCTTCTTGCCCCTTTGCTATTGTCCTCCTTGTAACTTCCAGTGCATCCTTCGAGACGAAAGGAAAGGAAAAGCACTTGACACACATAAAATATCTCTGCAACTCCACTCGTTCTTAATGAATTCAAAACATTTTTGCTGCAAACAATTTGCAAGGCGATAAACCCATACTGGCATCATTCAGTGATTACTTTAAAAAATAGTTGAGAACCCCATTGAGGGCTGCACATATGTTTCAACATTGCACCTTTTTAAAATGCAGAGCATTTCTTTGTGAACCTAAACCACTTTAAGCTTGTCTGTCTACGTATCCATATCTACCTAGCCGCCTGTGTTTAGGAGCTCCCCGGTCATCTATGTAACTTAATAGGTACCAAAGTCTGCATGGGAGGATGAACTGGTCATTATGTCTATTGTGTGAGATACTTGACGTCGTGTTCCATCGGCGTCATATGAAACTCGAACAGCGGCAAGCTTTTGCGATGGTATACTGCATGCCGTTCAGTTACCACCATTGATAGACGCACGCATGCTGTTCGGCACCTCTGCACAGTGAAACCTGTCAGTGGCAAGCCTTCGCGATGTCAACTTATCACCATGGACAGGCATGCATATATATGCATGTCTGTCCATGGTGATAAGTTGACATCGCGAAGGCTTGCCACTGACAGGTTTCATTTGACGCCGATAGTGCATCATAAAACCCTTTCCTTCAATGTTAGGGGCTTACCACTTCCTTCCCCCTCCCACGCTGTGTCTTCTTCACATTCGTACTTTCCTGAAAAAAGGCTCTTTCCTCGAATAGTCAAGGTCTTCAGCAAATATCCCTGTGCTTTCCAAAATAAAATTCTTCGTTACGGGCCTGCCCGCAACATACCCATGACTACCCAAAATGCACAAACATAAGCTGAACTCGCAGCGCTTGTCTCAAATATACTTTGAAAAAAGCGGCCATTATTTGTCTACTGTTTCACATGACACTCCCCGAATGACTGGGATATGCCAAACCTTTTTTTTAAAGAGGGATTCAAACATAAAGGGACACTGAAGAGCAAAACAATTTTTCACGTATGGGTAATGTACAGTTTCGCTATCCCGAAAACGCCACTGTTATCGTTTCATGCTACTTAGTAAGCGAGACGTGGGAAACGAAAATGCATGTGGCGACGTCACCTTGAGACCTAAGCACCAAACAACAGGACGTGAAGAAATTTTGAAGGCGTCTACTGGATCCTATAATCTGCGGGTGCCATAAAGAGCTTACAAAGTTTCAGAAAATTTCTTTAAGCCAATGCCACGAAAATACCGAAACTACGTTTTGAAATTTTATATGTCATGGCACGTAGATTCTGGACAAAACTTAAAAATGAGACTTCAACCTTGATTTTCTCTGCTAATAATGAACCTATGTTAGCGAAACATATGGATTGAGAGTTCTCAAAGTGCAGTTTATCAGTCTAAACCGAGGTAGTGTTCCTATTTAGCGTTCTTTTAACGAAATGATGAGGAAATTAGAATAGCTAATTGCCTGGCATGCTGCAGCAGGTGTTGGGTGACATTCATGGTGTACAGGGTAACCACAAAAGCAATTCATTCAGTCCACCTTTTTTATGTTCCTGTGCTTCCCTCTGCTGCGGGAAATGTTTCGGCAGTGTGGCGTAGTTTCATGTTTCATGTGGCAATCTGTGATTGCCAGAACAAAAGTTTCTGAGATCAAGCAGAGTTTCGGGACTATATCAAAACATTTTCACAACTTTTCCCGCTTTAAGGGTGCAGTGTGGTGTCATGTGAAAGTGGCGGATCTGGAAATGAAAAAAACTATCTGCAACAGTCACCTGTGGGAAGATTTGTCTGGTTAGTAGGTTGTGATTCTGAATGTTGCATAGCTTACTTCGGAATGCTGGTCTTCAGCAACATTAATGTATTGGTTTTGTTTGCTCCACTCAGGTATGAGAGCAAGGGAAAATTGTGGGCCAAGAGCCAGTCTGGGCACAAGTACCCTGTCGGGCTGTCCAAAGCAGAGATCGAGGAGTACGAAGCTAAACAAGCAGCACAACAGCAGCCAGACGCTGCAAAAAAGAAGAAGAAGAAAAAGAAAGGAGCTGCCAAATCTGCCGAGGCGTCTGCATCTGAAGTTGCCGTGGACCAGTTGGCTGCTACCTTGGAGTCGCAGGCCAAGATAGAAGAATCGGCACAGCCATCGTCATCTGCTGACCCTGCCAAAAAGTTGCGCAACCTGCGCAAGAAGCTGCGTGACATTGAGCAGTTGAAGAGGAGGATAGAGTCCGGTGAATTGGCCAACCCGGAACCAGAGCAACTTGAGAAAGTGGCACGCCAGGAAGAGATAGAGGCACAGATAGAAGAGCTCGAACTCGACGGCATCGAATGAGAAGTGCGCCGGGAAGACCAGCAGCTTGGCACACCCTGCCCTTCAACCCTACTCGAGCGTGTACCAGTGGCACGTCTCTTCCCACTGGCCATAACGCACAACTTCTGGAGACTGCTGTGGCAGTACCAGGTACACGCCAGAGAAGCTGCGCCGAGATGCCACTGGCCACACTCGTGTGCCCTGTCCACGAAAGGGTGTGTAGCTCTGGTCGATCGTGGAGACGCAGTTCTGGACGCTGCGGCCTCTCTCCGGGCAGACCTCACCATCAACCCATTGTCACGGACATTGTGCTGTCTTGTGCTTGAGCTGCCTCAGCCACAGGGCAGCCTGCAAGGTTTTTCATGCAGCTACCCATTTCCATAATCACTCTTGCACTCTCCCGTATATGACGACTCTCTTCTCAACCCCATGTCGAGGCCAGATGGAAGCGGCTGCCCCCATTCTGGCTTGAGTGAACCTTATACTTGGCCTAGTCCAAAAGGCTCAGGAACTGGTCACAAGGCGATTTCCCATGTGCAAGGCTGCATTTTCATCCTACGTTATGTTACTTAATGCGTATGATACAAATTAATGGTCAGCCTGGCCTAAAGAGGGAAATGGAATATTGTCGAAACGTCACATCTCGATGTGGCGTGTGCATTAACATCACGCTGAAATTTGACCCAAACAGTAAGAGACATATCTTTCTTGTAAGTATGAACTCCTTAAGAGACCTTCATTCAACAATACAAAAAAGATGAATTTTTAATTTTTATTGTGCCATCCATCTGCTCACAAAGAGCCTACCAAGTCGTGTCCACGAGCTCGTTGTTGTAGCTTTAAGAAAGGCGTCTGGCTGAACTAGCTGATCTGAAAGAAAAGCTGCAAAACACAAGGGGATTAGTTACTGCAATGTCTTGCAAGCCTCCTAATGGTACATTTTGATAGAACGATAAATGGGCTCTTGTAGAAGAAAAACAGAATAGAATCGTATGTAAGTGAAGAAAGGAAAGCTACTTCAACAAACCAATAAAGTGTTAACAAAACACTTTGCATTGTGACTTCATTTCTTAAAAGCACAAAAAAAAAAAGACCAGATAGCTTTACCAAATTCAGCAAGGCATAGTGTTCGCTTCAACACTAGCACAGCGTTCAACTTCGAGAATGAAGGACCTTCAAAATATAACGGTCATTCTAGCAGTAATGCAGAAGATTTATACAATGGTTTTCATCCGACACAAGTGCTTTGAAGGCTCCCATTTGCTTTCAAAGGTAATGGAGAGTTTTAAAATAGGGTATGCAGAGTTTGCGCTAGTGTTTCTCACTACTATGCAATCTGCTTGGGTGATGAAAGCAGTGCACATACCCAACAAATGCAGCTTTTGCATACCCTATTCAAAACTGCCTAATAAAAGGCTAAATCTAACCATTTTTTTATCATGTAAAATGTAATGGTTCTTTTGTGTTCCCGAGACACTGCTGTCAAAGGCCTGATGCCAGAAATATTTGGCGAATTGGACGATAGTTTTAAATAAGCAAAAAATGCAACACCAAAATTCAACGGAGTAGTACTGTCTTCGAGTCCTATAGCTGCGATTCAAACCCGGGCTTTTTGAAAGGGGAGCGGATATTCTACCTCTGCACCACATTGATGGAGCCGCACGCAACTCCAAAAACAATAACATGCTGCAGACCAGCGATCGCAGCGCCTAAGCGGCATGACCCTGTATGTCTGTACACTGGTGCTGCGGCCATTCCGAGCACTCCCATATTTTGTACACTCTAACATTGCAACGCAGTCTGCTTGGGAGCCTTTACCAAGAACAGACAGCCACAATTTGACTAAAATGCGTTTGAGCTTGACTGTGAGCTAGCAAAATGACCACCAATGCCTCCGAATGGCATGAGCTGCTTCACTGTCTTGGATGTATCAGTTATCAGAGTGGCCCACTTCTTACTAGGTACGTATATGACCAGCATACCTGCTTGCACTGACTGTCAGCAACAGATCGTGGATGTTCAGGACCCCTGCTGACCCACTAGAAAGGAAAGTGACATTGAAATTATTCAGGATTGAAGAAAAATTATGTAAAGCATACCTTTGTAAGCATACTCCAATGCACTGGACACAGTCCGCATGTCCGCTTCTATGCTTTTGGCCCAGTTTTCGATGTCTCCAAGTTCCTGCATACCAACTAAGTAAGTGTATCAAATATGGCTTGCGTAAATTTGAGAAAATTAACATTGCTCCTTATGTGTACGTATTCCCCAGTACTTCCAGTGGTTTGCTATCTATCACAAACTTGTGTTCTCTTTCTAGAATGTTGACTATAACCTTAGTTTTCAGCATATTAATTTCTTCTAGACCTGCCATTCTGCTTTGCCTGTCCAATCCAGTAATCATGCTTTGAAATTTGTCCCCAGAGTTGCTCAGCAAGGCAATGACATCAGCAAGTTGCAGATTATCCTCAACATTTTTAATACAAAGCACTAAAATCCTCTTGTGAACATGCAGTGAATCGTATTGGAGACATAGCTCTCGGCCTTAAACCCTTCTTTTTTGGGGATTATATTGTTTTCTCTAAGAAGAGCGAAATGATAGATGATCGATTGTTGTGTGGGATTTACTGTCCCAAAACCACCATGATTATAAGAGACGCTGTAGTGCTCCGAAAATTTCGACCAACTGGGTTTTTTTTAACATGCACCCAAATATGACCACAGGGGCCTACAGCATTTTCGCCTCCACCGAAAATGCAGCCGCCGCAGAAATGATAGATGTAACATTAAGGGGCAAGAAGAGAGCAGAGTGGGTCCCGGAGAAAAAAAAACACATTAAGGACGTTCTAGTTGTAACATCTTAGTCAAAGCATCTAATAAACACTAAGATACTTTGAAAAAAGTTATATCTGAGCAACGCCTACTCTAGACGCGGCATTGGTTACAGTATTGATACCATGGTTGAAAAAGCAATTACACGCCACTTGCAAGTTTACTGCTTCCTTAGACCAAGTAAGTCTGAGTGAGTTAGGCTGAAGACCAAGTAAGTCTGAGTGAGTCAGGCTGAGTAATATTTTGGAAAGTACGAGTTTGGTTGAGCAAATTTTTGCCAGTCTGAAGCTGACCAAGTCCAGTCAAGGGAAATTTTGGCGAATATGAGTCGGAGGAAGCCCTAAGCGGGAAATATTTCTTGAGAGAGTCTGAGTGAGCTTCACATTTTTTGCTAACCTATGCTTACTAGAAGTTGTGAAGGGTGTACTGCTGCATTGTGTTGATATTTTACCAATCAAAGGCAGAGAGACGTGAGCACACTTATTTGTTTTGACTGGTACACAAGGATGGTTTTACGGTGTCAGTACACTGGTGGAGACTTCTACAGTATTGTTCGTTACGTGTGCACAGGGGTCATTGGCTTTGATGCTGTATGGTTTGGGTGTTCATTGAACTTGTTTTAATTGGGTCACACTTGGGAGATTTTCGCTTCAACGCCCAGTGACGTCAAGGGTGCAGATATCTTACCTTTAGCGCATGATTGAAGTTGTCTACCAAATGGAGCCAGTTGGCTGCTTGCTTGCTGAAGTTGGTTGCATTAGTATGCAGCTGCTTGGCTTCGGCGTCTAGTTTTCTCTGGTTCAGGTAGGCTTGTGCCACTCTACAATGTAATTAAGAGGCATCTAACTTTTAGAGCGCCCGTATGTATAATAAATGCGAAATTCACTCGAGAAATTGAAACGTCCCCAGGGCTCACCCAACGTTAAGATGATCTACCATCGCCGCTGTCAGTGCGCTTGCAGCGGCGGTGGCTTCTTTTTTCTTTCGTTCTGCAAAATGCAAACGTTGCGCTGTTCAACAAGGAGGAAGGAGATACTCGGAAAAATCACTGCCCACCTTGTTCTTCTCTCCTCAAATGCTGCCGCTGTTGATGTTCCTTTAAAAGGCTCGACAGCATGGTGATTGGAAACTGCGAAACTCGCTAGCTGCAAATCGAAGACGAGGTAAAACTTGGACACTCGGTCTGGAATGCGCTGCGCCAACACCTACATGAGTCCATAGAGTTACAATAACGCAGGAGTTCACCTTGATGACGATGAAATCTAGCTCACTTGTTCACTTCTTGCGTAGCTAATCCACTGATGACAGAACCAACAGAAGCACAACCAACGCTGCTACCAAATCATGTTTGTAGAAAGTATCAGATTGAAGGATGGTATCAGTCAAGGTCTTGCATTCGCAGAGAAACGATTGCTCATTTAAGTGGCGGGACGGTCAACTGGTTAACTAATCTTGTCCTGATCACTTATGTCGTGAATGACGATCATCACAAGATCGCACAAGACAGTTGTTTTGTTTTTTTACAGTCATGTGACTAGTCCGCCCAATCACGGCGACGCTCCATGGGCTCCACCTCCTCTACCTTGTTGTCCTATTTGCATTCGACAAAAGAGCGCTGACAGCGCTGCGCTGCGCGCGGTGGACTCAGCTGTTGTTGAACGTGGCTGTGCTTGCGCGAACACTTCCCGCTGAAGTGTTCCACATACATTCGCGCGATAAAAATGATAGCGTAGTAAGTCCCATCATCGGTTGAGACTCGTGTCAGTAGGGGGCGAAATACTGCAGCGTTCCGTTAGCGAAATGTCCGTGTGAAGTCATCGACTGCTAAATCATGAAGCTGGCGCTTGTTTTTACGCTCTTCGCTTTCGTCCTGGATTCTACACGTCAGCAAGTAACAGGGCAGGCCAACGACAGCTCGCTCGTTTTGCTACAAGTGGTAAGCTCGAAGCATGTGTTGTGATCCATTCTACCGCGCCGCCGGACGTGGGTGTATTTGGCTGGCATCCAGCCGGCTCCCTATTTGCGAGCAAGTTCACTGGACTCGTTGAAATGCGTTATTTTGGATTAACTTAGCTAGATATTGCATACGACGTAAATAAATAAAAGCAACGTAGACGCGAAGGTGTATCGCGCATCGGTTTCTGCTTATGTAATGCCTTGTTTTCCAAATCGCAGGTGTACAGACATGGGGACAGGACTCCAATTAAAACGTTCAAAAATGACCCTATCCCCATCACAGCTTGGAAAGAAGGCCCTGGGCAACTGACCAAGGTGAGGATCCTATTTCTTTTCATTACGCAACAAGAAAAGGTGCTCAGTTCAGCATTCTATTAGCTTTCAGAGTGGTAGGCATTCCCTGTCCGAGGTTTATACCCATGGAAAGCATAAGCTTGCGCAGGGTTCCCGCTTCGGGGAGGACGAAGGTTTATCGCAGCGCCCTCCTTCCCTATTAAATGACCCGCCCCCTCTGCGAGCGCGCCTGTGATGAAGAGCACTGCCCAGCGATTTCGGCTGGACGGTTGCGTTTTGGACTGCCGCACGTACCTACTGCAGAGCTACTAGCTGCAGCCCGCATTGTCATTCATACCATCAAATTTTCAACCTCAACATCCACATTTATGTGCTCAAAGTATGCTTACCCATTAATTTAGTACAAAAGAAGTGAGTAGCTAGCAACAATCAATTGTGGCCTTCTACGTTGCGACAATGTTGTCATTGTCAGAGTTTTCCCAAATAACTGGCCTTGAGCGCCAATGTTGATTTGATTTGTGGGGTTTAACGTCCCAAAACCACCATTTGATTATGAGAGACGCCGTAGTGGAGGGCTCCGGAAATTTTGACCACCTGGGGTTCTTTAACGTGCACCCAAATCTGAATACACGGGCCTACAACATTTCCGCCTCCATCGGAAATGCAGCCGCCGCAGCCGGGAAACGAACCCGCGACCTGCGGGTCAGCAGCCGAGTACCATAGCCACTAGACCACTGCGGCGGGGCTGAGCGCCAATGTTCTTTGCTTCCTCTCTAATGACCGCTTATTTGTATTTCATGGAATGTTCTTTGCTTCCTCTCTAATGACCGCTTATTTGTATTTCATGGGAATGAAAGAGATGGACAAGTATGGTGTGGTCAACCATTCCTTTTCACCATTAGTGCAAATGAAAGTGTGTATAGTGATAAATATGTGCCAACTGGATTTGCTTGTTTTTAATAAAATACATTTTCGCATGATGAAATATGTCTCAAGCAGACCTGTGCTGCCGTCGAAAATAACCAGACGAGAAATTAGTCGAATGTATAAGACACAGATGTGGCAAAACAGTAGCATGTGTATAGGAGGTATTGACGTGAAGTCATCTGCAAGGGGCAATAGCACGGCAGTCGCCACAAGTGTGGTCTCGCGCGCGAACTTGATAGCCAGACGACAACCAAAGTTCTCGGCAGCACTTATTATGTTGATATTCTGTTTATAAAACATGCTAGGCGCAGCGCTGCCAAACATCAGGCTGTCTTATGCTGGATCACTGGTGGACCATGTATATGGCTGTGCACTGGTGCTGCCTGTCTGGAACAGCTCAGTGAATACCTCCTTTACTGTCACCACTGTCTCAATTTAGCAGGTAAAACTTTAACAGAGCTGAAGGAAAGAAATACGCCGCTACAGCAGTATCAGGCTGTCGCTTCTCATGCTTTTCATGGTAGCTTATATTTAGCTGCACATTAAAGGGATCAAATCTAGTGTAAAGCCCCCATCACGGCATGCTTACCAATCATGCTTTCCATTTTTTGCTTTCCACTTCAGAATTTCCTGCCTTTTGTACGTTCCCTGTACTGTAGCTGTGGTTATAACAGCTTATTATGGTTCCTTAGCTTTTGACATGTTCAAAATTTTTGCTTGCACTGGGTGTTGTTTGTAATAATTATTATTACATATATAGGTTTTCCCACTCACTTGAATCCATGTGCCAGCTTAAATAATCCACACCTCATCGAAATAATCTGAGCACTAAGCAATTTAATTCATGTGCCATACATTTAACTCAAGCGCCAACTCGGTAGGTAGATAGCAAAACGGCGCATCATCTGCTGCAGTACTTCCAGTTCGAGGCCTATCCCTTTCGCTGCTTTAATTTGCCTGCTGAGCAGTGTAATCTGGGAGAAAACACAGTGCAATCCTGTGACGGGTTTGTTGCCGCTTGTTCAGTGTTTGTGTTCAAATGATTTTTTTGCGAAATGATAAATGATATTTCGCGCATTTCGGAGCATGAAGAGAGAAGTGGAAATGGGCAAACACGAAGGATAAAAGGAGGGTTTCGAGCACAGCGTATATAGTTATGCTTTGAAACACGCGGTAATCTTTTGCAAAACCATCTCAATTTGGTATTTTCAAGTTCGAATCGTGACTTTTTCAAAATCACTCACACACATGGGCACAAGCAGCCAAATGTCAACGTGCATGCGATAACAACGCAAGTATGTGTACTCTGCCCAATCAAGTATGACGTTATGGTGTATTTGCATTGTACATCCTGCATTGCCATCTGTCTGTCACATTTATGGAAACAGCTGAGCATGTGAGCCACTTTATTGATAGTATCGTGGACGTAAAGTGATTAAATTTACTTATTATGCAACTATAGGCTGTGTTATATATGTTTGGTACACACAATTTTGCATTAAAGCACAATGTCAGTTTGTGAGGGAATAGCATCTCATGTAGAGGGGATGAAAAGGCATAGAAAAAAAGCCAGAATTCAAGTGCACATTTCATTTTTACAGTAAAAAACAGCCACACAAGAGTAAATAAATATTTTACATATGAGTAAAGTTAAAACAAATAGGGCGGATATTTCATGATGCTGTGTGTGCAGAAAAATCTTTGCATGTGACAAAACATGTGCGATAACACTCTTTGCTGCAAACAACAAGCATGTGTCCAGAGGTACTTGCCGCTTGAATGAAGAAATGTCTGCTCACACTATTATCTCTCATAGTGGCTGTATTTGTCATTCAACTAAGCTGCATTGCACTCTAAAGTATTCTGCAGCAATTTGTGATAAAACGGCACCGCAAGTACTGGGTGGATCACACAGAAAGCGATGGCTTTGACAAAAACTCCTTTACGGCGGACGGCATCTCGAACCAGAAGCCGATGCAGGCGGGCGCCATTGCCCACAATCCTTTGCATGAAGCACGATTTCTCTATCCACCTATTAGGCCACGTGCCAGTGAGTTTAATCTAAGTGCCATCACGTTTAATCTAATTGCCAACAGCTTTAATTCAGGTGCCAGTCAGTTTAATCGATGCACCAGAAACTCATCGTTTGCCACTTTATACAGTCTAAATGTTGCAATTATGTAAACATGAAGCAACAGGAAGAACTTTTCGCTCATCTATCATGCTAGTGCTTATGAAATGAGGTGTAGTGCTATATTCCCCCTACCGTTCTGATGTCATAGCTTCAAATAAAAAAAAAACAGTGTGTGTTAATTGTATTTACAGGTACTAAATACATTTGCTTATAGAGTTCATATAAGTCTATATGCTTCATTGTTACTGCATTATTCCAACTACTACATCATCTCATATGCAGAGACTCATGTCGTCTGCTCAGCAGACGGCATTTGGCTGCTTATTCGCTGAGGCGTTCGCAGTCGTCTGCGTAGCCCGGTGAGAATGATGGTGGACCGACAGATAATATTCTTCTGTTCTTGAAATCAGAAGTACCACGTTAAAAAATTAAACTTGCATTCATTTGTGTTTATGTGGAATTAGCTTTTTTTTATAAAATCATCAAAGGGGATACTCCTGTTTTCATGTAACAGACGACGCTAGTGTTGCTGAAGCGCGTTTGCTTGAAAGACGCGTGTTTCATTGGATACACATAATTTTATTAGAATAAAAAGATAATAGCTAATACGAATGTAAAATATGACTTCCGTTGTCCACATCAGAATCATGAGTTTGTCTTATGTGCACTGCAGGTAGAAAACTTCAAATTATCTCTAATTTGCTCTGTGCCCTGTGAGGGCCTCCTAACTTCTTAATTATGTACCTGCTTTTGATACATCGCTACCCATGGCCAGGGTTTACATATCTCTGTATGCATTCAGACACTCCAATGACCATTGTCTGTCCTTTGCATTAAATGACCTGTCCCGGTCATGTAATGCTATACAAATCAAATATGAGCTTTAGTGACGAGCGAAAAATATTTGTTAACATGTTTGTGCTTTTTATTTCATTGCCATTAAAATGATTGCACCCGGGCCAAGCACTCGTCTACAAACTTGTACATAGCAAAGTACAAATACTGGTCTTGCAAAAAAATAGCAGTAATTTTTTTTTTCACAAATACTAGCGGCGAATACAAATAATACTGATTTGTTCTATTTTGCGACTATTATCTTGTATATTGTAGAAAATGCATTACAATTGTACTGCCGTATTTATACCCCGTATTCCGCTTTTTGTGCGTGGATTAAAGTGACTGGCATTTGAATTAAAGCCGTTGGCAATTGGATTAAACATGGTGGCACTTGGATTAAACTTACTGGCATGTGACTTATTTGAGTTGGCACACGGATTAAATATGTTGGCGCTTGGACTAAATGTTTAGCACATGGATTAAATAGCTTGGCGTTCAGGTTATTTCAATGGCATGTGGATTATTTATGCTGGCACTTTAATTAAAGTGAGCAGAAAAACCTGTAGTGCCAGCAATCGAATCTATAAATTTGCACATTCAAATTTTTTTCTTTGTAATTGCATGCTCAGCTTATCAGTATGCCATATCTTTTTGTTGTCATAATGACAGGCAGGTCAGTCCAGTTACTCGAGAATGCACTGTTTCATTTCTTACCAACAGGTTGGATGTCGGCAGCATTATACCCTGGGAAGCCACCTGAGGTCACGTTATGCAAACTTTCTTACTGGTAACCCTCACCATGTAAGTGTGCAAAGCAATTTTTTCCTAAAGGTATAACTTGCATCGTTGAAAAAAAAATGTACAAAATGTTGTATGAGGGCTTTTGTAAAACAGCAATTTATTGGTCATTGTATGCATAACCTCGTTTCTCTTTCTTGTGATGGATCATTGTGTTTGGGCTGCACAATGCAAGAACTGGACTAGAGAAAGGGAGTGGATACATTTAGCATCTTTAGAGTGTGTCTGCTTCTTGTTTTGCAGGGTATTTACACAATGAAATGTTGCATTGTCATAAATTTGTCTTCTATCAGATGTTGGCACCCGAGACGCTGATGCATGTGCATTTTCAACGGACTCCTTTTTGTTGGACTTAAACACCGTAGTCATAGGATATGTACACTGTGTCATTTTGTGTCCATATTGTCTCCTGCCAAAGAAGTTTCGAGGATTAGCTAAAGCAAATGAGTTCACCTGGCATCAGCTGGGAAAGATAAGTGGGATAATTAGTGGTAAAAAATTCAACTGGTAAAGTTTATCATGCATTGATACTCTTGATACACACTGTTTAACCCGTTTGCTGAATTACGATACAGGCAATGAGAGTATCCAGGATGTAAAAAAAAATTTTTGTAATGACACAGAGGATAGCAACAGAATTGACGCTTGGGCTAATTGGTTGAGATGCATGGTATAATTGTGGTTTAAGCATACGAAGAAAGATGCAGAGGAACACGGGATAGGCGCTTACTCCTGAAAGATTTATTGAAAAGAGAAGAATATAAATGCATGAAATAAAGATCAACGCATGCGTGTAAAGGCAAAAAGAACAACCACGGAAACACGAGAACAGTCAGTTAACAAAAGCATAAAGATTATCCATAAACATATAATCTAGAAAAACAAACTCCTTATCGTGTAGCAACACCGAAGGTTGGCTGACACACTGATCTGCTCTTTTTCTTATGTGATCTGCTCTTTTTCTTTTCTCTTTTTCTTATGTTTCTTATGTGTGTGTGTTTTTCTTTTTCTTACGCTTCAGTCATTTTATGAGTTAATTGATTGTTGCTAAAAAAGAAAAAAACTTCAGTGTCCTGAAAAACAGGATAGCAGCGGCACTCTCTGCAAACCAAGAGATGCGATGCCCCTGAGAATTTAAAAAATCAATCATGCTCTCTAAGACTAATATTGATGCACCTTCCCACTCCTTGTCCTGTTGCTACATGATAAGGAGTTTGCCTTATCAGTTTCTGGATAATATTTCTTCTTTTGTTAACTGACTGTTCTCGTGCTACCGCGGTTGTCCTTTTTGCCTTCACACACATGCGTTCATCTTTATTTAGTGCATTTTTATTCTTCTCTTTTCAATAAATGTTTTAGTTACGAGTAAGCGCTTGTCCTGTGTTCCTCTGCGTCTTTCTACGTGCTCTTAAACGAAAGTTAGAGAGAGGATAGCCTTGCACATTCCTTTTCAGAAAGGGATTAAATTTTAAACTCTGGTAATTTGAAGTCTGTGCCATTATTTGTCTTGTTTTAGCTATGATCTCGTTTCACCTGCTTCCTCTTTTTAGCTGCTTGTAACTGCATGCGTCAGTGGTTGTTATTTGGAATTTGTCTTTTGGCTAGATCCGTGTCTGGAGCTCGGACAGGGATCGATGTTTGGCGAGCGCGCAGTGTCATTTGGCCGGATTTGCTGTGCCTTCTGCGGAATGGGCCTGGAATCGGACTTTCGATTGGCAACCTGTTGCCATACATACGCGTCCAACTTTTGAAGATGGGGTAGGCATGGTGCTTGATTGTTTCCATGTGCGTGAAGAATAACGGAAGCCAAAGAGCTCAGTTTACTTGTTAGTTTGAATAACAAGAACACAAAAGTGAAAGATGCACAAGAGAGTGTTAGAAAGTAATTGTTCTTTTTGATTAAAGTTGAAAATAACAAGGAAAAATGGACATTCAGGTGGATGAAATAACTTGTTAGTTCGAGCACCCATCTGCCACATTATGTGTGTGCAAAGTATGGTTGTGTTGGCTTGCATGTTGTGCATTAAATACCTGTTCAAATATAAGTTCACAGACATCACACACAAAATGCAGATCTCTTGTTAGGGCTGAGTGTTGAAAAACTTGTTAATTTTGCTTATCACTACGTGCCCCTCATCGTCCTGTGCACTTCTGCAGGTACGGGAAGCACATGTTCATAGAATATGTAATATAGATGAACCCATATGTAACTTAGGGGGAGATGGAGGGCAGAGACAACTGAAAATGCAATTTTTCAATTTTCATGGCACAGCATTTCAGCATTACTGACACGTGCTCCCATGAAGTGGCGAGTTTTTATGCCCAGTGGAAGGCATTTGAAAATGGCCTCGAACGCACCTGATCCCGTAACTGCACCATAGCAACTCAACTTTTAAATGGCGTTTTCTTCGAGCATTACTTTTCACCAAAAAAGGAACATTTTTTCTGTGACTACTGCAGTTATCAAATGCAAACTTTTGTGACCTCTTTCTGAATAGCTTGTGCTCTTTCTGAAGCAAAAGAATGTTGTTGCCACCAGAACTTGTATTTTTACGAAAGCTTTTCTTTAAGGAAAAAAAAGCACTAAAATTGTATTTATAAAACATTTACATTTATAACTGAAGAATGGTCATGCCTTCAATCGCTATTTTGGTTCAGAAGGATACCCTAAGCACGTTTTAGTAACCAGAAGAAATTTAATTGTTTTACATGCAAAATATTTTTCACAATTGTTCCTCCAAAAATAAGAAAACATCAAGTAATCTATTTTTATTATCGTTATAACTGCTTTGTTTTTTCTTGACAAATTCAGAAAAACATAAAGTAAGGTCCCTATTCAATTCACCACCAAAATTTTGTAAATTTTGCTTAAAATTAACAGAACAATGGGCAGCAGTAGTTGCACACCTGTCTGTGCTATTCATCCTTCCTTAAGGCACCAATACATACAGAAATCATAATGAAGCTTTCACTCACAAACCATCAAAATAATTGAGTTGTTATGGTATTTTGTGGCTGAGCTTGGTTGTTCATTCAACACAAGCCACCGCAATTGCATTTAACCGACTTGAAATGCGAGAACATTCATCTATTTACATATATTTCCACACTAAAGAATCCCAAGTGTTTGAATATAACCACGATCTTCCCACACTGTGGACGTACCTCATAATCAAATTGCTTTAACGCTTCAAACCTCAAAATGTACTTAGTTTTTGTAGGCCTGTGTACTCAAGTTTGGGTGCATGTTGAGAAACACCAGCTGGTCGAAATTTCCGGAGCCCTCCACTACGGGGTCTCTCATAATCATATGGTGGTTTTGGGATGATAAACCCCACATAATAATCAATTAACTTAGTTTCACATTTTAAATACATAGCTTCTCCTAGCTGCATTTGAGTGAGCCATGGCCTGAAAAAAAAAATAAAAAAAAAACTTCCTTTGCTACTCTGCAGATGCTTGTTCCAGGAGATGCTTTTTGCCCTGAAGCCAATGCAGAAGAGGAACGAGTGAAGAATTCTCCTGAAGGGCAGGCTTTTCTCAAGAAATATCACGTATGTTCTATTTTATATTGTGAAACTGACACATGTAGCAGGAAAATATACGCTTATACTAGTTCAATCCACATAGAAATTGACATGTTTTCATACCTTAATGATGGCTGTCTGTTTCCTGTCTAAAATGTTTTTGTTAGTCCTTTCACTTTGAGATAGGTAGGGCGTTTGCCCCTTATTAGAGAAGTGTATTGGCAGTGATTCAATCAACCATAGGAACAAGCAGGATTTCGAACAGGCTACTCAGCAATCGACCACATTCATACTATCAATCAGGTATAGAGAAATGCTCGGAATATAGCCAACCACTATACATAGCTTTCATAGATTACAAGAAGTCGTTTTATTCAGTAGAAATATCAGCCGTCATGCAGACACTGCGGAATCAGGGCGTCGATGAATTATATATAAACATCCTGGAAGAAATCTACAGGGGATCAACTGCTACCATAATGCTTCATAAAGAAAGCAACAGAATACCAATCAAGAAGGGTGTAAGGCAGGGGGACACAATCTCCCCAATTCTATTTGCCACGTGCTTACAGGAGGTTTTCAGAAGCCTAGAATGGGAACAGTTAGGGATAAGAGTTAATGGAGAATACCTTAGTAACCTACGCTTCGCCGATGACATTGCATTGCTGAGTAACTCAGGGGACGAATTGCACCTCATGATTGCGGAGTTAGACAAGGAGAGCAGAAAGGTGCGTCTTAAAATTAATCTGCAGAAAACGACAGTAATGTACAATAACCTCGAAAGAGAGCAGCGCTTCGAGGTAGGTAATAGTGCACTTCAAGTTGTAAAAGACTGTCTCCTTAGGGCAGGTAATAACCGTGGAAGCCGAATCACGAGATTGAAGTAACTAGAAAAATAAGAATAGGGTGGAGCACGGCAAGCACTCTCAAATTATGACAGGTAGATTGCCACTATCCCTTAAGAGGAAGGTATATAACAGCTGTATCTTGCCGGTACTTAGCTACGGAGCAGAAACCTGGAGACTTACAAAGAGGGTTCAGCTTAAATTGAGGACAATGCAGCGTGCAATGGAAAGGAAAGTGGTAGGTGCAACCTTATGAGACAAGAAGAGAGCAGAGTGAATTAGGAAACAAACGGGGGTTTAAGGATATCATAGTTGAAATCAAGAAGAGTAAATGGACATGGGCCGGGCACGTAGCGCGTAGACAGGATAACCGCTGGTCATTAAGGGTAACTAACTGGATTCCCAGAAAAGGCAAGGGAGTTAGGAGTAGACAGAAGGTCAGGTGGGCAGATGTGATTAAGAAGTTTGCGGGTATAGATTGGCAGCAGCAAGCACAGGACCGGGTTAACTGGCGGAACATGGGAGAGGCCTTTGTCCTGCAGTGGATGTAGTCAGGCTGCTGCTGATGATGATGATGATTGGCAGTGATATACTTTGTGCAGTAGCTTTAAATTTAATCACTATTTTTGACGTGTAAATTTGATTGCTACTCGCAACATACAACGATGCTGAGAAAGGTCATGGGGCATTAGTTTTTACTTGCAACGAAATTTTTAATCAGGCAAACTGCCTTATATGTTCGTGGTTGTTAAAGCTTGAAGCGTAGACTCTGCCTTCTGACAGTATTGGAGGCAAAACGGGTGTATTAGAAGCAACCATCGCCTTTCTAAATCTTGTGGGGCAATGATGCTTGTGGTGCTGTTATATTTTTGTACCTCCTCTTTGGGGCTATTTGTTTTATGCTGTAGGTGAGAGGAAATCAGTGCTCAGCACCGCCCAAAAAGTGTGCAGAGGCTTATCTCGGTGTGGCATGGCATAGCCTTGAAGTAATAGGGCACTATTAGTGTTGATTTTTATAACAATTTTCCCCTATTCCCTAATAGACATGTGGGAATTTATTATAATCTTGCACACTTTTTCAGAAACTTTATGAAACACTTACGGAAAAAACTGGAAACATTATTGCAGACTGGTTCGATGCTGAATACATATACGATACTCTTCTGATTGAGGTGAGATCTGTCATATTTTGCCTCAATTTTCCTCAGAACTGGACAGGTTGTATGAGATTAGTGCACGTTTGAATAGGGTAGCGCATTAATGCCTACATGCTCATCGGGCATGAGAGATTGGAACACCGTGAATCATTCGAGCATCAACTTCGTCTCCATAAATGCACATAAGCAGCATGTACAAATAATGTGCCAATGGTTGATGCTCCTGTGATTTTACTAACTGTTAAGGTAAAAACTGTTGAGAGAGAGGAGGGTATGTGCGAGATTGGTTGATCAGGGACTGGTTGGTGTAAGACTGTTGGTTGATCACTTTCATCCGTGACGTCATTTTTGCAAGGAGAGGTGGGACACCTGTACTTACCCGTAGCTGCGGAGTGCAGTGTGCATTATCGTGGCACTCTGGGCTGGCACGTGGCATTGCCCTCTGACTGACCACTCTAAATGGAGAGTTTTGTCGATCGGGAAAGAGTGACACTGCAGGTGAAGCTAGCAGCTTTAAAAGGCCCCTAAATCAACTAGACACCAAAATTCAGTTGTGGCGTTGCAGTTGTGCGCAAGTGTGCAATGAACACACGGCTGTGAGGACTTTTGGAAATGGTGCTGTACTAGTGGTGTTACGCATGTTTGATGGTCACAATGTGGCCCTTGCTCGTTTGACTCTTTCCTTTGCTACACTCCATTCAATGGCTTGCCTCTCCTTCAGTCAGAGCGCACGTACTTGCAGGCAGACGAACGCATTCCTGCTGCTGCTGTCTTGACCAACTTCTCCTGCTGATGCCATGACGAACTCTAGGGATACTGAAAAACCCAGGGCGCCTGCATGGCATAGCGCTACCGCATTTGGCAGTGTTAATGGTGACTGCAATGATAATTCAATGCGTGACTTTACTTGAAATAATAAAGAAAGGTATTGCAGGTGGTTTAGAGGCCCTTTAACCAAAAGAGCAGTTCAGTGATAAGAGGCAGCCAAAATGGTTGAACTTGGCTTACCTTGGCAGTCATTTATGTTGGTTTTTGTCCTAATATTTACTTTTGTTATGATACAGTAAACCCAGTGTTAAATTAAAAGCATGCATCTTCACATGGAGCTGCAATTGCTGGAAAATATAATGGAGTTGTTTCATTTTATTTATCATTTGTGATATTGTGGATCAGCTGTGGTTGCTCACCATCTAAATGTGTGCCATTCTTGTAATTTCTCAGAAATACTATAATTATACTGTGCCCAAGTGGGCTGAAGAATTGTGGAAAGATTTGAAGTATCAGAGTGACCAGTGTTTTGTCTTCCGCACCAAGACTCCTCTTCTGAAGAAACTGCGTGCAGGTGGGAAATTTATTTCTACCTAGTGTTGCTAGCTTCAGTCTCTATGCTCGAATATCTGTGGAATGCTTGCATTGGCAATATAAAGGAGTGCTGACAAAAACTTTTTAATGCAGAATAACGTGTGGGATAGATTTGTGTGCACACACACACTGATCAGCTACGAAATATCAACATATAATACAATCTAGAGCATATTTAAAATCAATTTCGAAGTGCATGTCGGGGCTCCACACGCGAAATGAGTCGCTGGTTTGCTTGTAAATAACCGAACACCACCTGTGTTATGAGTGTGTGCTGGCTGCCGCGTTCCTTGCGAGAACTCTCTCCCAGCAGACCATTTAGCGGAAAGAGGGGGCAGGCTTGCAAGCGAGGGCGAAGGCTGGTGTCTTTGTCTCCGCAGTGCATTTGGGGGGGGGGGGGGATCACTCATATCGATGTCTCAGAGGCAGCGTACGTAGAAAAGAAAAGAGCTGTCAGCGCAATGTGCACGTGATTTTTCATGCTCACGTAGTCAGCTAAGTTTAGACAGAAACCACTCCGTTTCTAGTCTCGCTCAGCGCTCTCTGAAACCGGAACTGCGACTGGGCAGTATAAAACCCTTTCTAAGTAATTAATTGTCACATTCTCAAGCAAACAAGCTTTCCTGCTGTGATAAGTGTGTCATTAGGTACTTATTAAAGCTGCTCTCATTTCATCACAAAATTGTTGAAGTTGATCTTTACGTTTCAAACAAAAATGCAAGCATCGCACTTCTAATTGCAAAGAAGTTTTGCGGCATGAAATTTTCAGCCAGGCCCGTTGAAAAAAAATAGTAGCTATGAGTTCAACACAAACTGATCAAGCAAAAAAAAAATTCTGTCAGCCTATCTGTTACAATTAGAAAAATTGAAACACAGTCTGTGTCATTTTATAAACTTGCAGAGTAATTATGTATGTGGTTCTTTCTTGTGTGAAATATGGCGTTTCACAAAGCTATAAATTTTTTACTACAGGATAAGAGAGGCCATAAATTGGGACGAAAAAGAGGCTCTCTGTTGTCTTGGTCTTCGGTCTACCTTGCATACCATTGTACCTTAGTTTGGTGTTTTCAAGCACTGTTGTGCAATAGTATTGTTTCGAATTATTGCTTGCCTGAGCGGGTGAATATCAGCAGGGTTCTGATCATCAAAATGGTCCTCCGGTCTGATAAAAATAAACACGTTCTATGAACAGCAAAGTGCTATGAACAGTTGAGCCAAATTTTGTTGTTGTGTGCCGCACAAAGAGTTTGGGAATGAAAGGTTCAATTGCCACTATCTCAAGCACCTTCTCTTCATACAGACGCCCTCACTCCCTTTCAAGCTACCAACGTCAGCTGCACTTTGTCACTTTGCAGATTGCTCCTATTGGCCAATGGCTTGCAAAAATCAGAAGCGGCATTTAAATTACACGTGCATCTTGCCTTGGGGCAACCTGCAGTAGTGTGCTAAACTTACGCGCTAGCAACTCCAGTGCCCACAGGAATCGCAGCGGGTTGAGTGAATGTGTTTCATGAAACGTGCTAACGTAATTTTTCTTCCCCTCTTCGTCATGTGTTGTCTAGCTTTTAGTGCACGTGGTGTGAACAAGTTGAGAAAGCACATATTAAAGCATGCGACAAACCTCTGTAACTTCTGTGATTCTTGATGTATTGAACATATTTTGGCAGCAATTAATAATGCAATATAGTGATTTGAGGCCACAATTTTTACAAAAAAAAAAAGAAACGTAGGATTATGTGGTTATTAAAATGAAAATCTGATTAAGGACAATGTGTTGGTCCGAACCTGCCATGTCATTAAGCATACCTGATGCTTATGTATAGCGTCTGCGGCTCCACAACTACCATTTCTTTGGTGCTTGTACTTCCTAACAGGGCTGCTGGCCGCCAATATGTCTGGTAACCTGGAGGCAGCAGCTCGAAACATGTCGAATTACAAAGTCTTCATGTATTCCACAGTAAGTACAAATTTTTTATCATCATGTACGTTGGAAATTTAATTTTGGGCGAATTTCACAGATCCTCGTTTAAAAACCACTGATCATGCTTACGAGATGTTGGCACATTGTATATTTGGAAATCTAAGAAAAGAAAGCTTGCTCTGGGCTTCATGTGTACATGAAATTTTCATATTGATAAAATCTATACCTGAAAGTGTTAAATGTCGCCAAATTGTGCAGATCTGTCCTGACACTTTGACATGATTATTCACCATGTAGAGCACTACAAGCACTCCTTACCAAGGATTCATGCCTTGCCCTCCATTCCTCAGCACCCCCACAAACTGTACTTGCGGTTTCCAGACAGAGTGTTACCTCGTTCCGCCGACCCATGCTTTGTTACACCCTACGTGTGCAGAGTTGATGTCTGCAAGCATTTTTTCTTGGTCAAAACAATTGAAGACTGGAGGAATAAGCTAAGCCCGGAATAGTTTGATGGCGTCAATTCGCTCACAAGTTTTGAAGAGAAACTTTAGTCACTCAGTGTATAATATTGAAATTCTTATTCTGTGTAATTAGCACTGCTGTTGTTTTGTATATATACATTTATGCACTGTCTGTACTTCTGTATTTCTTTTTTTTAGTTTGCATGGTGCTGTTCGTGCTATGCTGTTTGCTTGTACTTTCTGCATAGTAATCTCTTCCACCCTGTAACATCCCAATAGGGCTTACAGTATTCAGAATAAATAAAATAACACCTAAAGAAAAAAATTGTTCCACACCAACCCCCTCCCTCCTTTCTTATAAACACACTCGTCCACCCTCTGTGACCCACCCCCATTCATCTAATATCCACCCAAGATGGAAATTATTGATAAGCTCCTGCCCCATACACTACAGTTCTCTACTATTTTGTTTTTCTCAGTGTGGCAAGGTAACATCGTACTGCACCAGTAACGTGCGTAGTTCTTCTGTTGTGTATGCGCTGTAGACGAACATTCCTTCTTTTTTCTGCAGCACGATACTGAAATTTCGGCCATCCTGGATGCCCTGGGTGTGTTTGATGGCCACGCCCCGCCTTATTGCTCCACCCTTGTGCTCGAGCTATGGAAAAATGGACCAGGCAATTTCTCCGTGCGTGGGCTTGCACTCAATGCATTTGACTTGGAACCTCGGCCTTTTCATTTTCCTGGCTGTGAGGGCGAGTTTTGCGCCCTGGAGGATTTTCTCAGCTTGGCCAAGGTGTACATTCCAGATGACTGGCGGCGAGATTGCGGCCTCCGTCGATCTTTCTTCCTCTCTGATGGAGGTATGCTTTCTTTCCTCCTCAGTGACTGCTGCTTATGTCATTGTAGGATAAGAAGGGAAGCACTGGCTTTCACAGCAAAAGTATGAAAAGTTGTCATGTGGGAGTCTCATTAAGTTGGCATGTGAATATGTCAATGTGTGATCACATGACAGATGCCAAATGCCAGTAGCATAGCCAATGTCAAAAGTATGAGATGGCCATACAAGGTGGTCATATGTTCTCACTATATAGGTGAGAGCACGGAGCTAGTGTTTGCAATAAATTGTCACTTAAAACCCACTGCACTGCCTATGTCGCAGCACTGTAGCAGATTTATTACTGGTCCTTTATAATGCAGAGCTATCTGCTGATGCAGGTGGAGCTAAGGCTGCATTTGGCAATTAGTGCTACCCAGTTACAAAGCTTGTAAAGGCCTAAATGGAGCAGTGGAAGTGCACTCAGTATTTTTAAGTACTGTTAAACACCATCTATAGTCAGCCAATCTAGCAGAGCATTAGTGCCATTTCGACAAAGTTGTCACTTGCAATTATTTAAAAAATAAGCATCCTAGGAAAATTCCAGGAGTATGCAGAGTGTGTGAATTTTGCCTGCTTTAGAAGCTTTAAAGGTATCCTTGTTTCCACTGTCTGATCAATATTTGCTGTGGAGCCTGGTGAGGGACCCTTTTATGAATGGAGATTCTAACGTGTACCTATTTGTTATCACGAAAGTGTTTCGTGCCGGGCTGCACCAGGACTTCAGTGATATATTTCAGTCACGGAAGTGACATCGAACAAATACACAGTATCAGAAGACAAAGAAAGACAAAGAAAAAAAACTCCCAAGCATTTCCCCGAGGGTCAACATGGTTAAGTGCGAATGCACGGTGTGATGCTATGAGGGGTGTTTATCAATTCGCACTATTATATTTATTAATCACACTATGGTGCCTTTATGGTGTAATGGTTCCTGGGAATCGCAATTTGATCACACGGGGGAGTTTACGTTAACTCACTGGCGAATGCCAACAAATTTTAACTTTACTCCCCCTCATAGCATCACCCCGTGCATTCGCACTTAACCATGTTCACCCTCGGGGAAATGCTTGGGAGTTTTATTACTGATGATGATGATTAAAGTGTAATTAATTAATTTAAGTGTTGTTTGTCATGAAGCATTTGTACACAGATACATTATATACGAAGTATTATTTATTTACACTTCACGATTTTCGTACGATGCATTAAATGCACACATCGCGAGCGCGTCACACACACACACACAAACTACACTACAGATTAGCACCTATGCGTGTTATCGTTGTAGCTCACGGTTAGTACCAGCGCTTTGTGATCCGAGAAATGTACGGTGAGCGGATCCGGCAAGACGGAGCGGACCGTACAGTTCCTACTGAACGCCAAGTCTATGAAGCCACCGTTGATCGTGGTCGGAAACTCGAGAGACAGACGTCATCGAGTAATTGTTCAGCATGTGGTCAACCAACCAGCCATTGTCCTTTCTAACGTCCACGTTAAAGTCACCCACCACCACAATCGGAACCGAGGGACGCGCGCGCACAGACTCGCTCTTCATCGCCGCATCCATCTGCTCCAAGACGTCATCTCTCGAGAGGTTCGGGGCCAGCAAAGTCCAGGGCTCGCACCCTCTCCCGCACGGCACGTTCACTGGCTCGAACGGCTTCAGGAACGTCCACTCGCCGTTGACGATTGCGAGCGGCGTCTTGACGCCGGCCTTCATCGCCCTTCTCCGCCTGACGCTTACGTTGTCGTTCCGCTTCTTGGGCCACGTTCGCGGCTCGACGCTGACGCCTCATCTCGGCCTCGCGAGCGCGCAGTTCAGCATCCGCTGCACGCTTCGCCCGCTTGTCCTCGGCCTCGCGAGCGGGCAGTTCGGCATCCTCTGCACGCTTCGCCCGCTTGTCCTCGGCCTCGCGAGCGCGCAGTTCGGCATCCGCTGCACGCTTCGCCCGCTTGCACTCGACCTTGCGAGCACGCAGTTCGGCATCCGCTGCACGCTTCGCCCGCTTACGTTCGGTCTCACGAGCCCTTCGCAGCGCCGCCTTGTCTTCCAACGTCGGCGAAACCACCGCGGTACCGTCACCTCCAACGACGGGTGCAGTGCTGGCATTCGGTTGTACTGCATTCGTTGTTGATGGTAGCATTGCCTCCGGGACATGCATCGCACGACCCGCTCTCAACGGGAGACTGGGAGAGAAGGTGGGCACGCGAGAGAGGGGGTGCACGCGCAGCTGCAGCGAGCGAGGAGAGCGGAGGAGCGAGCGAAGGGGGAGGGGGACACGCGCAGCGGCGTTTAAGATATAAGGCGCGTTACTGACACCGATATCAGCGTCGCGTCTGTGGCTTATTCGGTAGAGCGTCGCGCTGCAGCCCGCCAAGTCCTCTTTGTTTTAAAGATAGAGAGAAGACTGCGGACGCCGCCGCCGACGGTGGATGGTTTGGGGTCGCTTATAAAGTGTATTCACACTTAAAAGTTCGTCAGTGGGAGTCGAATCCATTACCACTGGATTCGCAATAACAGATGCTGGGCATGCTATTCACTATGCCACAGGCACATACTTTGAAATTTTTACACCACTGTCGTCTTGCAGCATTCTTGGTAAAGTGAAGTAATGCGTCGTTTCTAAGCGTCCGTCCCATTCGGTGCGTTTCTAGTAGAAGTGCGATTTTATCAATGCCTTAGCACACCTCCAGGTGGCGACCTTACCTCAGGCGTTGGCATCACTCATTCCATTCATCCATACTAAAGCTAAATTGCGACACCTGCCAGCTTCGCTGGGCTTTAACTCCACTTACGCTTGCCCCACGAATAATCATGGCTGGCCAAAGGGAAGACACAACACGCATTGTATTTCCATTTAGCGTTGTTCAATGACTACAACATGTCACGAGTAGGCGACCTTGACCCAAGTTCTGCGTCCAATTAATCATGCTCTTCAGGCTGTCGGATAACTTGCTCTTGTTCCGCTCTCACCATTAACTGCTACAGGTACCACAAGCATTATGATTACAAAGGTTTGTTTAAACGTTAGTTGGGATGAAGGTGTGTGACTAAGTGTCAACAGGTTGCATCCATGTTAAGCAGTGCTGTAGCTGTCGAATACCAGTTGACAAATGAAGTCAAAGTATACACTCTCCATCCTGTTGTGACAATGGGCCGGCACCTCAGCTGTCTTGCTGAGGCACTCTTCATTTTTTTCAGTTCTCTTCTGGTTACATGTGAGTGGCCTTGAAGTGACAAGTTCTTCAGAGAGCAGTATACCATGCCGTTGAGACAATTTGGTCAAGGTTTCAATATTTCTTGTTGAACAGTGTCATAGTCATTGTTACGGCAGATCCACAACTACGCTGGATGGGGGCTCTGTCTTTGGACACTGATGCCAAAATCTGGCCGCTGAGCAATTCCGCAGCATCTTGCATCGTTCCTTGCAGAGAGTGAACCCACAGAGTGAACCAACAGCTTTTCAAATGTGAGACACTTATGTATAGAAAAAACAGCCAATTTCTGTGCGATGCTGAGGATTCACCTTTGTTCATGACTACTCATTTTGTTCATCTTTGCTCATGATTGCTCACGGTGTCCGCATTATGGACACTCCAGCCGCCAAGTCAAAGTAAGCCAAAGTGCGAGCGCCAATTACGACGTGTTGTTTGATCCGGATTATGCAAGCTAATTTAACCTAAAATATCGAAGCCATAAGCTTAGCAGGCCTAAAGACCCAAGACTGGATAGATGGGGCCATCTAGCGGGACCAAGATGAACCAGACAAGCACGAAATCATTATTGCAGAAAAATGGTGTATTCTATTTCTGATGTACATGCCTTGTTGTAGTTTAATTATAAATGAGTTAAATCATATTTTTCCCTCGAAAACTCTAGGTGAAAACAGTTGTGTCCATGACTGCAATTGTCGCAGCGGCATAAAATGTCGGCATCACAGTCGAATTACCCGGTATTCCTACACCCCTCTGCATATACGGGGATCTGTACATGCTAAAAACCACTCTGATAATATCGCATGTTGTGTAAGTTTAGTCAAGATACAGTTATCTTTATTGAGTGGTTTGCAGAAATGTAAATAACCATGCATTCCAGCAACGCTGTGACATTGAAAAGTACACATACTAACTAAAACCTCTAATGACAAACAGTAATTTTACAAGTAAAATTTCGAAGTGAAAATGTTTGCAAAAATTGATTTTTCAAAGACCGCCTCTCCTTAAAATGCATTGACGTGCTCACGGAATGTAATTGTAGTTCTGACGTATTCTGTTTATTTTATTTTTGCAGCATTGGCATTGGTGATTGGGCAGAGCGCCATACTGGCCATTGTGGTGTTCAGCTGCACTGCCTACTGTCTTCTGCGGAAGCGCAAGACCCCCAAAAATATGGTGGCTTACTCGCCACTTCCCACTGAATTTACGACGACCAACTGAGCAGATTTCATGCCGAGGAAGGTTATCAGATGTTCGGGAACTTGTGCATGCCTTGCCATGGCTGCACACTAGATGGACATTTTGTGGACCAGACAGCCTTTCTTTACCCTGGCATTGTCCACTCGGAGGAAAGCTAAGCACGCACAATGAAAAGAGCAGGCCCACCAATGAGCTACATTCAGGCCATATACACCATAATTTAGTGAGACTTTCATGGGTCTGGCATTTTTGAAAAGCAGGTACAGGTTGATACCAAATATTGAATATTCACGTTCATATGTATAGCGCCAGTGGGGACACTAAACACTACTGCACATCCACAAATATGTACAAGCAAGGTATTGAACCATGCGACAGCCTATTTAACTGACTGTCCTCAAAAAACAAAAACAAAAGCGGAGTCATGCATATACTGCAAGTATTATCTGGCATGACTCACTATCTCGTATGATGAACCCTAAAACCAACATGGCCATATAAACATGGTATCTTGGCAGGCAAGTGTGCCCACTGATAAGCTCAAGGACTTAGTGGCTGTCCATGAGACATTTCTGAAAGGGATATTAAGACGTGGTTGGCACTTATGTACAGAATAATTGTAACTTACTAAAAAGAACTTCAGAAATGAAGTCTTGGTCTATTGATTTTATTAGATGTATAATAATGTTTGAGCCTCTAGTATTCTCCCTATAGTGATGGGTGTTCTGACACGGTTTAGGCGCTTTGATACTCTTAGTCATTATGTGGTGATGTAAAAAATAATGTGCCTGCGCACAGCCATGCAAACGTCTAAAATGTGCTCGTCAGTGAAATATTATTGGGCGCACATGGCTTTACATGGAGCTCTTTTATTACTTCCATATTTTACAATAGTCTCGTGATATGTTGTTGCATGTTACGTTGTGAAAATTGTTGTACATATTACTTTCCTGGTATTGCTCAAACCTGACTTACTTTTTGCCGGTGAAGAGCACTTATAAGTTTGACGTAAGTTTGGAGTGCAGTTATTTAGGAGTCATATTTTCAGTATTGAAATTAACTGAGAACCTGTTCTACAGTTTTGCAGAACATTATTTGATGTACTTTCTTAAGGCAACTTATAAATTATTTGTTTTTTACTATTTGATGCATGTACCTATTAATTCGCACAACTAGCATGGGCATTAATTAATGTATTTTACATTCAACACACAAAATGTAACTTTTTATGAGTACGGAAAATGTATTGTGGGATTATAAAAATTTTATTAAAGTGTTTAAAAAAAGAATCCGATCTCTGTGCTCCAATTTCTCATTTTTGTACATCATATTGTTCTTGGATAGTTAAATCTATTGTCTTCCAAACAAACAAAAAACTAATTGTAAGAACAGTTGGTGCTAAGGTGGTGCAGAGCCATATGTGCAAAACATTTCTGAACACATGCTAGCACATGTAATGTGTAAACTTTGTCAACTTGTGGTTGCTTGCTAGACCTCATGCTGAGCAATGCTGTGTGCTATACTTCATCAGGAAGCTAGTGGGAAGCGATACAATGTTACACCAGCCCGAGTGCATTCTTTTTGGTGCAAGGAGCAGCAACAAGACTCTGCACCACTCTAACTGCTCTTAATATTCATAGCCCAAATGGTTCATGCACCTGCACTTCTATCAGAAACCGCTACAAGATGCACTTATGAGGAACCGTAAAAGACACTACGTCACACCAACTGCACTTTGCCATGTCCGCTTGCTTTGTGCAGCCTTGACAACATAAGTGCATCTGCACGTTTACGAGAAACCAATGCAAGAAGTCGCATCACTGCACCTGCACTTTTGTCTGCAACAGCAGCTGGATCGAGCCATTTAAGTTTACTCACAGGTGCGAGGCCTGTGCATGCACCATGATCATTAATATGCTGGAAGAAGCATTGCGTATGTGCTATGTGCGACATGGTGGGCCAGACCCGCTGTGTGCCATTAGCCTACTTTGCGTTTCGAGCATTTTCAGTGCCACCAATTCGATTCCCTCTAGGTTCTTTTCTTTTTTACAGTGTTTCCAATTCTAGTGTACTTTCAAAACACTGTTATAATGGCTTATGTTGTCTAAAGCAAGGTTTCTCATCCTCGTTTGATTTTTCCTATGGCATTTGAACTGAGAAATTAATTTCAATGCTCACTTGGATGATATCCTCACCTACAGGCTGCTGCCTGTCGCATCTTGGTCCTTTGTTAATTGCAGAAGACTATTGATGACTATTGATTACAGCTCTGTAGTGTTTGCTGAGCAATTGCACAATTTTATGGAAGCTGTGATTGTTCACTGTACATACTGCCTGCTGTTAACTAGTAGTACACTGCTGCCACTGAACATATGCCAATGCACGATGTGCTGGAACACTACCGAGCTTTATAAACTTTTTTTCATTTTTTTGCTTAACTTTGGGTTTTGCCATAGGGCAACTTTATTATTTTTGGTGTCCTAATTGTGCATTTTAGCACCTGTCACATATTCCCTGTCTGGTTTGTTCATGTAATCTTGACTGCTAGCCATCTGATCTGAGGAAGGAGCAGCTGTAGAAACTAGAGCTACTAGTAGAGGTGTATGTTGGTTCTGCCACCTGTTCGCATTTTTAGGGGCGAAGCTCTTTAAAGCGGCACCCGTTCGTCCCTCGCTGTAGTATGTAACATGTGTTACGTTCTGACCTGCAAGGTAGTGCCGATGGGAGATTTTTCTTGTGCGTTGTTGAACAATAAAAAATTTGCAGCGTTCGCATTAACTAAAAGCCGAATTCTCCTGTCTATCATTCCCCATTAGAAGCCATTGGCATGTACATTGAGCACTATCTGACAATAAAAGGGTTGCTATGTTATACTCGCTGGGCATAACCTCCTTGGTTTAAGAAAGGTTTAGCGAGCAGTTGGGCCGCAGCGCCATGAATACAGTGAACTAGTATATACCATGAACTCGAGGTGGTTAAAGGTGGGAAGTAGACACGAAGCGCAAGCCATAAGAAAGTGTGCGTGTGCCACCTCTCATTTAGTCCTTGGAATGGCTGCTGGATGGCGGTGCTTCTATATGCCGAATATATGAAAAGATGCGAGATGGTGGTACTTGGAGTGTTGACTAGATGGACGAACGGACACACAGACAGATGCATGTACGGATGCACGGATGGCTGCACAGACGGATGAACGCATGGACGGACGCATGGACGGACGCATGGACGAACGCAGGGACGGACGCACGGATGGACGTGCGAGTCCATGAACAGACACGCGCGGACGGGCGGAAGGACGCAGGGACGGTCACAGAGACAGACGCATGGGCGGACGGATGCTTCTCTCCCCACTCTCCATCATTCACCCTGTGGATATGCTGCCATTTTTTTTTTGTGTGTGTAACTCAAGTTGTATGGCAGACTGCTTCATCAAAGCAGCGAAGTGGCCAACAGGCCCCACACTTTTTTTTAAAAAAAAGTGGAGGGGTGGCTTCTTTTTACGTTCATACGTTTTTGTTTGCATGTAAATACGTGTAAATGCAAAACTTGCATGGGTGTTGGATTGAACCCAAAAATATACACTGCAAGTCTGCAACCCTTCGTGCTCATATGTACAGGAAACTCGGCACTCCTTCATGTAAAAGCGAGAAATGAAGCAAAAACTGGCGCCAACCGCCAACTCATCCCAAGTACGCAAATCAGCAATGTCTTGAAAACATTCTACGTCGCGTTTTTTTTTTTTTAAATAGTCGTGTAAAGATAATTTTACCGTGGTCAGCGGAATGACGGAAGGCAGAACAAAACTACACTTTCAACAGCGAGGCTTCTATCGACTTGGAGAAGTCCATGTGAAGTGTACGCAAAAACTCTGACGTATATGCGCCACAGGAATTGTGCAAGCCCCACTATTTACCACGTGCAGAGTGAAGGAGACGGATTATCCAAGAGCGGTGAGGAAGGAAGTTAAAGCCTGGGGTGGGAGAAAGTAAGGCCGTTAAAACGAAGAGTGCTGAGGCAAGAGCTAGAGGAGGAGGAGTGAGGTGAGCTTTAAGCGAAAGCTCTGCTCGGCGAAGGGGAGGGGTGGAGATGGGCAGTGGAATTATTAAGATCTGCAGGTGGGATTAAAGCCAGAGTACCCACGCTCCAAAGCCGAGCGTCGGAAGCTCTAGGCTATTAAGGCGCGATAACTGAACAAGCATATATGGGAACCATCTATGATCGCGTTGTGAGAACAAGAAGAAAAAAAGATCGAGAGAATGAAAACGGAGAGAAAGAAAGATCATGGCCATGTGTATAGCAAAGGGGTGTGGCGGCCGGTCAAGATGCTTGAAAATTCGAGCCTGCTTTCGACTGAAAGCGTGTCAAAACGCCGTCCCACATGGAGGTTGGCAGGATAGCGGGACACCAGCCGCAAAACTGGCACATGTACTGAGTAAATCGGGAACTGTAATTTACTTCCTTCACACAGTGCCCCATATAATATAAGTGTAACATTTCCGATGTCTACGCCGTTTAGAAAAATCTGGGACGTATGGTAATTTCATCCTTCTCAAACAGTCCCCTAGTTTCCAGTAGCGATGTGCGAATGTGACTTCACGAATTTTGCAGTAATCATCATTAGTCTGTGACAGTGTGAGCTAAATGATTCCTTGGTAATTTATATATATATTACGGGTCAGTGCTGTATTTGTGCTACATCCCTGCGACCGTGATCAGTATCATTCGAATATTCCTGCTTAGAGTTTATTCATAAGATTTATGCTAGGATCCATCGTTTATTGTTTATTCTATGGGCCCAAACAAACGTTTAGTTTTGGCCGTGTTCGTATAAAGGTGAGAGCTTGAGCAAGAGCCTAGAATGCGTGGCTTAGTCTCCTATGTTGGTCTCCTGGGCTGTGACCATCGTTGTTATATCTTTACTCAAAGACGTTAGATGATGCCGCAGCCTAGAGGTGCACCTTTCGTCTGATATAGTGAGCTAGACGAGATGTAACGGCATGACCGGCGGGCGCGCCTGGTTTCCCGGCGTTCCTTTACGCTCTGGAGTGCTGCTAAGGTAGGTGGGGGCGCTGCTGCTCCTTTTCACAGAGGACTTGTGGGGAATACTGGACACACTATGTGTGGAAGATGGAGTCACTAATCTCTTAAAGGATATCTATAAAGGTAACAAGGCAGTTATAAAGTAGGAAAAACAGGTATCCAAGCCTACAGAAGTAAAACGAGGGCTTAGGCAGGGGGTGTCCTCTGTCACCCTTGTTATTCATGATGTACGTACAAGGATTAGAGGCCAAATTAGAGGGAAGTGGACTGGGCTTCAACCTCTCTTTCGTCAAACAAGGAAAACTCATTGAACGGGCACTACCAGCATTGATGTACACAGATGATATAGTGCTAATGGCCGACAACAAGGAAGATTTGCAGAGATTGATGGACATCTGCGGTAATGAGGGAGATAGGTTAGAGTTCAGATTCAGTAAAAAAAAAATCAGCAGTCGTGATTTTTAATGATGATGAAGGTAGTGAGCTTAGAATACAGGAGGTCACGCTAGAGATAACAGATAAATACAAATATCTGGGCGTATGGATAAGCAATGGGGCCGACTACCTAAGGAAAAACGAAATATACGTGACGACTAAAGGTAACAGGAATGAAGTGGTGATGAAAAACAGGGCACTGTGGAATTACAATAGGTATGAGGTTGTGAGAGGAATATGGAAAGGGGTCATGGTTCCTGGTCTGACGTTTGGCAATGCGGTCTTGTGCATGAGATCAGAAGTTCAAGCAAGATGAGAAATTAAGCAACGTGGAATAGGTAGGCTTGCCTTAAGAGCTCATGGGAATACATCAAATCAGGGAGTACAAGGTGATATGGGATCGACATCATTTGAGGGCAGGGAAGCTAGCAGCAAGATAAAATTTGAGAAGCGATCGAGAGAAATTCGGGAGGAGCGTTGGGCTAAGAAGGTATTCAGCTACTTGTACATGAAGAATGTCGATACAAAATGGAGGAAGCGAACCAGAAAATTGACTGGTAAATATTTAGAAAACAGCAAGGGGCCAAGCCAAAAAGAATTATCGGTTAAGAAGAAGGTGAAGGAAGCTGAGACCGATATGTGGAGAATCGGCATGATTAAGAAGTCCGCACTAGAGATCTATCGAACTTTTAAGCAGGAAATTGCCAAGGAAAGGATCTATGATAACACTCGGGGTAGTTCTCTACTGTTTGAGGCCAGGACGGAAGTATTGCGAACCAAGACATACCGGGCCAAATACGAAGGGGTAGACACG